ATACTAAACTCACACACACTATACGGATGTTAGGACTCAAACTCACGATCATTAATTTCTCGGACAACAATTGCTCCAAATCACTACTAATATGTCTTTTGCTTTGTTTGAATTTCTTAATTATGTTTTTAACGAAAAACAATATTTTTTTTTAAAATTCATCAGACGGAGGAAGGTCAAAATCTGGACCGTAAAATAAGATGAAGTGCACCATCACTGAAATTTTAAGCCTCCATAAACGACAAAATGTGCTTAATAATGAAAGGAAAATAGACGAAAGGTTGATAGAGGGCATAAAGCAGCAATATTTATGTTTTCCAAAGTATCTATAAGTAGGGTTTTTGGTTTTTTCTTAGGCAAACGTAGGAGGCCCATGTGGGATTGAAGAAACTAACCACCATGAAGAAGTTTGGTGATTGATTGGCTCCATGTTTCCAGCTATCCCTTGGGGCTAATGTAAAACCAGTTTAACAATTAATTAGCTACGTCTGTGCATATGATCTCACTAGCCTAATTGGAAACTGTAGATTCTTTTTAAAACTTAAGAAATATTTTATAATAAAAAAAATTAAGAATGACAATGTTGAATATTTTCCTAAAATTAAGTATGCGGTCAAAAGATATATATATGCATTGGTGGAAATCCTTGAAGGACCCGAATCTTAGGAACGAAAACCCTAAAGACAGAAGAATTCTAGGCCTTGCTCTTATAATCCTACTAGAAAACCTCAAAAAGGATCATGATGATTTGGGGACAGTAATGTATTCGTGGTCAAAATGGATTGGTCACGGGTAAGCCACATATTACGTCAATTGTGTTCTTCATATGGTGTTGTCATTAATTTTTAGATACTACTTATCTCCTTACCTGTAAGGAGGTAAGGAGATACTCATTTTTCCTGCAAATCACAATTTGATACATATGCAAAACTTAGTAATAAAAATAAGTTCCGGTACTAAGAAACAATTATTTTTTTTGTTACAACCTATTAATAAATACATCAAAAAAACTATATGGATATATTTGACTAATTTGCCAGTAATTTGACAACACCATCTTCCCGGGACCGGCTTCATCTCTTCTGTAATTATAATTAGCCAGTAATTTGTGTGAACCCAAAAAGTCGTAAAAATTGTTATCCATGATGGGTACACAATTATTCTGTCCACTAAACAATATAATGGTAGTTACGTCATAGTAAATAATGAAATAAATATATGATCAATTAGAGAAGTCGCAAACTAGCTAATATGTCGACAAAAGGGTCATTATAAATCAAATCAATACTGGTATGATTTGCGAGGTATTCTTCATCGAAGCTGCTTCTCAACTCAAGCTTCATCCCAACTGTTGTGAAAGGTCATGTTATGCTGTTCTTGAGGTGCATATACCAACTTCCCAATCTGTCTACTCACATATCAAAATAGACCGTTAAAGAATAGCACATCTCTCTCTCTCTCTTGAACTCTCTGTGTGTAAGAAAGAAGCTGCATATATAGAAGGGTTTGAAAGAGCTTTCAAACAGTAAATGCAAAGCATTTCAGTTACTTGCACAGCCAAACAATCCATTTCCTTCAAATGTCTTTATATGAAAACAATTATATACCTTTTTCTCTCACCTTCCCAATAGAAACCCATACAAGCAACCCAAACTCTTATGATCTTCCCAACCATACACACACCCTATTGTAAACATCAACAGAGCCCTTGAAAAATTTTCAACAAACCACTTTGACTACTCCTATCCAACTCTCTCTCTCTCTCTCTCTCTCTCTCTCTCTCTCACATATGCATGATCAATGCACCCACTGTTCCACATCATACAAAACCTACTTTTTGCCTTGTGTGAACTCTACCTTTCTAATACTTACCCTTTTTGTTGTCCTCATTGAATGCATTTTGTTGCATGGTAGCTCATGATATGAATTCATGTTGGCTTCATTAAATTCCCATAACATGCCTTCATAAACAATATTTATTTGGACAACTAATTAATTGGAAGGAATTGTCACATGATAAACATGGTTAAAAGCACAATCATGCTTATGAATAATGTTAATTATAGAAACACCAGATTTATTCTCTATGTATGATGTGTTAGGTCGTACGTAAATGTGTCAATAACTTACTTGTTATACTAATAAACTAAGTTTGAAGTGGACCCGGATTTAAATCAATAAAAACCATCACATCATTTTATTAATCAATTTACGGTTCCTCCGAGTCCCCCTTTGTTTTATTCCATCCCTCGTTTGTCATTGCTCGGGTGAAATTCAATGTTTTCTGTTTTGGTTTTCTAAACCAATTCAACCAAGTAACCGTTGAAGCATATGTTTTGTTCATTAATTAGCAAATGTCGCCTTCTTACGTAGTTGGTTTCATGGTAGAGAAACAATGAATCAATACAGGTAGTATACGTGGAGATGCAATTATGTATTAATTATATTATATATATATATATATATGAGCATTCTTAAACGGCAACGAATTTTGAGAGACAACCAACTAAGAGGGTTCTTCTTAGACTATAGTGTGACGTGTTATCCAACACAACAATGAAGTGACCCATAAGGATTTATTTCTTATAGCTTGTTATTTCTTTCATGCATGCCTTGTACAATAACAATAACCCAACGCCTAATAAACGGCAATAAAATACTGCGTTTTATGTAGAGTCAAGTACAGTTAGTTGGCTTTTCAGTGGTGATTAAGTCTAATCCCAACAAACCACATTGATCGCGATGTCTCTTATTAAACACTAATTTAAAATTAGTGGCTTGAGACAATTAAGACAAGGACAGTTTAGCTACCTTAATTGGTGGTTACCTCTATCTTATCTGGGGCTGTTCAAGAATTAACATTCTCTAAACTTTGTCCAATGTGTCTAATCTCAGAACTCTTAATCATACAGCACAAACTCATCACAAAATTAGCAGACCCATGAAAGGGTTTTTTTTATAAATCAATTATGATGATAATTTCATGCTTAAACCTACCAAATCTGAACCCATCTCTAGCTAACTCTGCATATTGCCAACTGTTGATTAATTATGATATATGTAAGATGTGGGATGTGATCAACAAACATGCATCAGCAATCCAATCAAATTAGGTATATGTTGATTAATTTTACCATTGCGCAGCCTTTCAGTTGAGCAAATCTCCTATGTATTCCATTAGAGTATTTAAATTTAAGAT